AGAATTAAAATAAAAAAGTTTTATAGAATTCTGCAAAGTAATTATTAAGAAAACTTCGTTCAAAGTTTAAAAAAAATGCAAAAATTGTTTACGTGTATGTTGGCCGGTGATTAATTATGATTGGTTGAACGTGCTTAGAACATCAATGAACATCGCGTAATCTGTTGCACTCGAGTAGATCTAATCCTAGAAAAACTCTGTATGAGTGACTAATTTGAATCAATTAATTGGATCGTAGACAATAAAACAAAAATCTTCGCTAGTATTTTTCCTCTTTCTAAATCAAGCTGATTATCCTGGACATTCAGATAAGTTAGAGCATTATATTACAGCTTAAAAATAGGTTTATAATTTTGAAACAATCTGAAGCAGATTTAAAAAAGTCTCAAAGTAGAATATAAAGCAAGGTTTCATTTAATACGTAGAGTGTGTTAAAGATTGGATCAACCAAACCCAACATTAACAATTTTGCCAAAATGGTAAAACCCTACTTTGACTTTTCCTGATCAGAGCTTCGTATCCGTTATTCGTATTCGGCGAATATTCGAATAAGGAATTAGCAAATTTTATCCAAATAATTTTTATTATTCATCATGTGAAACTTTATTAGCTGCGTTATTCAAATAAATAGTACTATATGCGGCGGGAGACATTCTCCCGCGAAAATGCCTAAAAACCCCTGTGAAAATATCCAAAATTATCTATTTTTTTTTTAGAAAAAAAAAAATGCTACATATGTTTAAATTTTTTTTTTTCTGCTACTTTGGATCATATACATAGTTTGGTTGGTTATAAAAGCTGCATTGCATTACGTTATATCGATATATTTTGTGCTGCTACTGGTATGATTCTTGAATATTTGATAGGAGAGCCTAAATCTAGTTAATGTAAAATCGCTTTTTGGCATATGATATATATACTATGAAAGCGTTAATCTATTATATATTATAATAACAAAGACGGAAATAATCGGCTAAATTAATTTCCACTACGTAACTAAAATTTTTTCGTATACTTTACTGGGTGAAAATTTCCGGGTGTCATATGTATGAAACCTAATCATATACAATAATCTATATATTTCCTTTTAATTCGCGGTTATCATGACGGCAACCAAATGATTTTTGACTTAAGGAGCATAATTTATCCAGTAATTCGTGGCATAACCCATGTGGATGAATACTTTTTATTCTGTTCCCACGTATGGGCAAATCGCCGATGCATATTTACACATCCATTGATAAAATAGTAATATAGGTGAACAGGGATCATATGTGGTATGCGATACCAATCTGACTTCCTCGCAGTTAACGGACATCAGCTATGGAAATATTTAAAGTACACCTTCCCCATAGAGTTGTACGACTGATGAAAAGATAGCATAAATTCTATTGGACACTGACGAAACAATATTTTGCGTATAATACGTATAAACCCATTCAATTCTTTTACGAACACATTGTTAAAGTATCTGTCCTAATGTCTTCTAAAAAGCAATTCACTCTTGCGGAGCTCGCTGAACACAAAGAAAAGGGCTCCACTTTGTATGTTTCTATTAAAGGCAAAGTCTATGATGTAACAAAATTCATTGAAGAGGCAGGTTTAGAGCATTTAAAACTCAAAATAAAATGCATATTTAACTTTTTTCACCAGTAATTATGAAGTAACGCGTCGTAAATTTAAATATATTGTATTAAATTATTCACTGTTTTTAGCACCCTGGTGGCGAAGAAGTCCTTCTTGATGAAGCAGGCCAGGATGCCACTGAGGCATTCGAAGATGTTGGACATTCTGAGGAAGCCCTTGAAATCCTAAAAGGGTTAGAAATTGGTGAATTAAAAGATGTTAGTAATTAATGTTTTATTATGATCTGTATAAAGATTATTCAATATTTTCTTAGTTAAATTAAATAGAATATATTAAGTCTTTGTTATCTGGTTAACTTTAACCTTTAATTTAAAACCTTTAATTTAACTAAATACATAATAAACATTGTTTTTTGGCCACGAGATATTTCCTTATTAAATGGTTTTGCGGTATCGTTACTAGGGAATCCCACCACCATCAGCAAAATCCTCTCCAAAAAATGTACCACGACCAAAAGAAGAACCATCCAGGTCTGTCAATGTCACTTTCTAATGATAATTTTTGGTTTCTTAATACAATCTGACTTCTTTTTCGTTTCAAAAAATAGCATTTTTTCTTCTCTTGTACCTGTTGTCGCAGTGATCGTAGCTTATATTGCTTACAAATACGTAACATCAGAATAATATTTGCTGATTTATATACATCGTATCTTCTGATAAATGTGTCTTATGCATATTTGGTCTCGAGTTTTTGTATGAAACTTCTAAGATCATTTTTAATCTTGGTTATTAATAGACTGACATTTAAGGTTACAAATATCGTAATAAATATTGAATTTGGTTAAATTTTATTACATGTATATTCGTTTGAACGGTTTTTTATATTGCTGGCTTTAAAATTTTTAAGTACTACTATGTACTTAAACTTATTACTATTTATATGTTAATATCTGCAGTTTATGAAATTTTATACAAATACTGTAATAAGTTTTTTAAGATAATACTTCAGTTAAAATGGCTAATATTAAAATTTTGATTTATTTTAAAATTAAAAAATAACTAAATTTTAATATGTTGTCAATTGGAAGCTTCCAATTAAAATTTAATTGAAATATGGAATTGGACCAATTGGACCGGGTCCAAATAGGTCCAATTCCAATTCAGATTGACCAATCAAATTTTTGTATTATAAAAATGCTTTCTGAGAGTATCTTTGCAGGCCAAAAAAAAAAAAGCAATATTACTTAAGTACTTTATTAGAGATGAGATCCGGATATCTGCCAGTTTAATTTTATAATAAAAGTATTATAAAGAATCTGGATATCTGGATATTCAAATTTTAAATAAAAAAATGAATAACGGATCGCATCTCTAAAATTAATTTTGATCAGATAGCAAGGTGTTATAAAAACAAAGTTCTAATAAATAGCGGTCTACCTAAGTTTATTTAGAATTTATTATGTAAATAATTACAAAAATTCACTTTAATATAATTATTACTGTAATTTCATTGAATAATATATATTTTACATGATAAATTTATTTTTTAAATTTATAATTTTGACTATACAACACTGCCTATGGTAGTATATTATTAGCATATCTGAAAATTAAATAATCAATAGGCATGCTATTTATTATAGTTCTGAAATATTTTAAATAAAAAATCAAAGTTTGAAAAAAAAAATGAAGCAAAGTTAAAACAACAAGAGTGATTATTCAAATTTATAAATAATTTTAATATAATACTTTTTTGAAAAGCTTAGGTAGTTTAATTGCTAATTCAGATAAGATCAGCACTATAGCTATATTATTACTATATTTGAAATTGGAAATAAACAAATAAGTAAACAATATATTAGTAAATCTGATATTAACCTTTATGAAAGTTTTTTATACTAAGTAAATATTATTTTTGTTGTTACAGTACCGTGGCCTTCTTAATAGCAGTACTATAACAATGACACGGCTATAGGGATCCTTTACAGGTTTATAGTGGTGTTCAACAGGTAAGTATAATTTCTACTACAACTAGAAACTATACCCTTCCGTCTGTGGCAGTTTGGACAGATAATAGTTTATAGATAAAATATATGTTTTATTAGAGAGAATAGGATAGGCTATCTTTAGGTTCCTATTTCTAAAGAATCCTATAATATTACAAGAGGGAATTTAGGGAAAAGAGGAGTCTGGTTCTAAGAGATAGACAGTGCAGGTCTAACGTTAACTTGGGGAAATTTACATTCTTTTTA